TGGTGGCAGTTGCCTGTAATCCCACCTATTTGGGAGGCTGAGGCAGGAGAATCACTTGAATCCAAGAGGCAGAGGTTGCAGTGAGCCAAGAACGTGCCGTTGCACTCCAGCCTGGGCGACAAGAGTGAAACTCTGTCTCAAACAAAACAACACAACAACAACAGTAGAAAACTTAATGAGAAGTCACTGCACAGAAAAACAGAATAATGGAACAGGCAGAGGAAGCATAACACTAGAAGTTTACCTAGTTGAAAGGTTTATGAGACACTCAAGACAGAAGAGGTCTGCCCATCTGGTTAGAAGGGTGGGACAGACAAGATTTATTTGAACTCAGCACTTGAAGTCCACTCATGTAGAACAGCTAGCCCATGTTATGAATGCATGGAAAAAGAGTCACTTGGGTGAAAATCAGCAACGGGTCCATCTTGTGGATGATGACATCAATCAGCAACAAGGTACATTTGCTACAGTAGATGATCATACTTCCAAACCAGGTCCAAAGAGTCATCAGGGCTTTCAAGCTTAGGTATAAATGTTCACAGAATCTTCCTTTGGACTACATAAGGCTCTGAATTTCTTGATGCCCACTAACCCCAGCACACTGATGCTAGATATACACTGAATCTGACAGTGGCAGCTCAAACAGATTTTTAAACACCTGTTGGATGTATCTATTCATATACATTTACATATTAAAAACATGTCTTCAAGTTTGAGCTTATCTTGCTGTTTCTAAGAAAAGCCAAAAGACACAAGAGCTGGCAGACATGAGAGACTAGGGTCATGTTGTCCATGTGGACAGGGATCCTGGAACTCTGCCCTCCTCTAAGGGCTTTTCTTTCCTACTTAACATCCTGCCCTCTTGGCACTGGTGCTGTACCTGCCAGCCTTCCAAATTTCCAAATACTGGGTTCTTCTTACTGCACATGCCACCTCTTGGATATCTTTCAAATTGTGTATCCCCTTTTATTTCCAAGGGTTTAATCATTTTGTAATTTGCAGTTGCACTTTAACTTATTTTTTCCCAATCCTTTATTGAAAAGCACATTTGTGGCCAGGCGTGGTGGCTCACACCTGTAATCCAAGCACTTTGGGAGGCCAAGACAGGCGGATCATCTGAGATCAGGAGTTCAGGACCAGCCAGGTCAACATGGCGAAACCCCGTTTCTACTAAAAATACAAAAATTAGCCAGGCATCGTGGTGTGTGCCTGTAATCCCAGCTACGTGGGAGGCTGAGGCAGGAGAATCGCTTGAACCCAGGAGGTGGAGGTTGCAGTAAGCCAAGATCACCCCACTGCAATCCAGCTTGGTGACAGAGCGAGACTCCATCTCAAAAAAAAGAAAAAGAAAAAAAAAAGCACATTTTTTTTTCTTTTTCTTTTTTTTGAGACAGAGTCTCACTCTGTCACCCAGACTGGAGTGAGTGCAGTGTCACGATCTCAGCTCACTGCAACCTCCACCTCCTGGGTTCAAGCGATTCTCCTGCCTCAGCCTCCTGAGTAGCTGGGATTATAGGTGTACACCATCACGCCCAGCTAATTTTTGTATTTTTAGTAGAGATGGGGTTTCACCATGTTGGCCATACTGGTCCCGAACTCCTGACCTCAGGTGATCCACCCACCTCAGCCTCCCAAAGTGCTGGGATTACAGATGTGAGCCACCATGCCCAGCCTAAGAAAAGCCCATTTATTTGTTTGTTTGAACAAATCTTGCTTGTAAAAGAAAGAGAACTTCAGGGTCAAAGAGTATTTCCATTGGAATGTGTTATGTCTCTTGGCATATTGCCTGCCCACACATTGTATCATCAATTCATTCCCGCCAGTGGTGTTTAAGAGTAACTACTTTCTAAATGTTTACCAATCTTGGATGTACTGAAAAAGTTTAATATATGCCATTATGTAAAACAAATATATCACAATATTTAATTTGCATTTCTTTGATTTAAATAGCTCTGACATGAGTCTCTGTCCTCTCTCTGTCCCAGGCCCACCTATGCCACTTCCAACCTGACTCTATCCACCTAAAAGCACTTCCATGGGTGGAGGATAAGAAAAAAGGCTTTTAGTTATTTCAGTAGTGCAAGAAGCATAATAATTCTAAGTAGATCTAGAAACAGAGTTCTTTAGTACATTAGTAAAGGCATGAAGAGAGTTCTCCTAATGGAAAAATCTTAAGTCATTCAGAAGAAGAATAAAATTGAAAATGTTCCCAATAGCTGAGCCCTGGAAGCTCTTAGGTCTGAAGGGTTCAGTCCCAGTGAAGTCCACAAGGTCAATATGAGGGCCCCCACTGGGGTGTCTGCATGGGGAAGGGGGAAGTACTGTGAACCAGGAGCAAGTCTGGGGTTCCTTTCCTTTCCTGGTTTCACCATGTTATCCTTTCTTCACAGGTTCAGGGGTGGCTTGTGTGCTCCAAGCACTCTGGACATGTCTACCTCCACAGTTGCTGGCTTTTAGTTAATTTAAGCCCCATTGGGCTGCAGCATCTGTATCTTCTTGAAGGAACTGTACCATCTTGGCAAATTCAGTCATTGATTCTTGTTTTGACTTCTCTCAACTCTGGGAATGTCTCCTTGCCCTATGTATACCCAACACAACAGCCAGCATGCACTGGAGTTCAAAAAGGACAGCTGGGTGATACTTAACCTGATTCAGTGTTTTCAAATTTCTGACAGTTTCGCTCTTAGGAACCCAGTTTGCACTTTGGTTCTGAGAGCCATTCCTGAAGTTCTGCCTTCACCTTTCAATCAAATTTTGTTATCTTTAACCCCTAATAAATCTCTATATGTTTAAACTATATGAGTGTGCTGTTTCTTTTTCTAAAAACCAGAAAAGAAAATATGAGTGATACCACATTCAATTTTATGTCTATAACCTTATTACATCCTTTAAAAAAATAATATTTTTAAGGAAATGAATCTAGATTCCTTAAGAAAACATGTAAATATTCAAGATATATTTTGTTTTTAGGATATTTTGAGAATGTTTATTTTTTATGATCACAACTATTAGATAAGAAAAACATAAAAGAAGAAAAACTTTTCCCAACATTTCATCTTGAAAGTTTATAAATATTTTTTCTTAATACTCTCCCACAAAGAAGTGAGTAAAATATTTAAATAGACATCTTGATCTCTTTTGTACATGTTTATTGCTATCTTTTTTATTTTATTTCATTTCATTTTACTTTGTGTGCGTGTGGCAGGGGTTCTCTCTGTGTTGCCCAGGCTAGTCTTTAAGTCCTGGCCTCAAGCAGTCGTCCTGCTTCAGCCTCCCAAAGCCCTGGGATTACAGGCATGAGCCCCCAGCCCTGCCAAATTCCATTAACACGGTGTTCAGGACAGGACCAGGAGCTCCTCCAATCCCTGCTGAGCACTGAACTGGTCCAGAGATGGGGACATCAGGAGTGTGATGTGCTTAGGACATGGGAGTGCTTGTGGTTGGGTGGGGTGCAGAGAGAGCCATGAAACTAGAAGTGAAACATAAAGATGAAAATGCTGCTTCTTAGATAGACGAAAATTGTCCAAGGAAAGTTTTCCCACTTAACCGGATTCCAGACCTACCCTAATAACCAGTCGCACGCATCCCGAGGTCGTATGGTTGAATTTCAGACCCATAATTGCAGCTCTATTGCCACTGAATACGCTGGAATCGCCTGCACACAAGCCCTAGTCTATAGGCCTACCCTGCCTGCAAACAGAAAAATGTCATTCTCTAAACCCATGCTAGGATGATTGTAGAATAGGCCAGAATCAGGGGTCTGTCCCCTACCACTTGCTCTTCTCCAGCCTAGTTATTTGATCCAAAGCATAAAGAAGCAGGAGAACGGTAGAGATAACAGGGAGAGCAACAGAAAGACTTCAGAAAGGTGCCCTAGCACACTCGAACAAAATGATAGGAGGACCCAGAAGAAGCATTTCAGCGTTAAGCACAGTTGTGGGGGCTGTTGCCTGTCTGCTGAAACTTTCAGCAGCCCAGCCCATGTCCGAAATTTTGACTATTGGCAGCTCTTTACCCTTGGCTTCCTCTTCCCAGAAGCCCTCAAACCCCGACTACAGCCCCAGCACAGACAACTCCACCACACACCCTTGGCCAACAAAGCCAAGCTACCTAGGACCAAGGGCAAGTTCCCGAATGAGCCTCCCCGCCACCACCGGCCCCGCCAACTCCTCTTTCTTCAATGATCAGCCAGGAACACAAGCGAAATACATGTGTGTGTGTGTGTGTGTGTGTGTGTGTGTGTGTGTGTGTGTGTGTTTATTTGAAACCACTCCCGGTTAATTTTTGTATTTTTAGTAGGGACGGGGTTTCAGCGTGTTGGTCAGGCTGGTCTCGAATTCATGACCTCAGGTGATCCACCCACCCCGGCCTCCCAAAGTGCTGGGATTACAGGTATGAGCCACCCCAACCAGCCAAAAAATAATAATTTCATATGATGAACCATTAAATGGAAGTGACTACAAAATAGAACACAGAGTTCGGAGAGGACAACCTCTACTTTTGGGTTTGAGCAGACGCGCAGGTGACACTGTGCAGCGGTGTTCCACAGACCAGCAACCCGAGGAGCGCATGCGCAAAAGCCCTCTCAGGGCTTCCGGTCGGGGAAGGGCTGCGTCCGCGGAGGCAGCTCCGGGTCAATTTGGCCGCTGCAGGTCGTATCCGCCAACAGCAAGTCTTGAGACGTCTGGTGGTGGCTGCTGAGGGCAGGGCGACGGCAACGCTCGGGAGAGTCTCCGCTGTCAGAGGTCTCGGCTCCAAGTCGTCTGTTCCCGAAGCGGGACGATCCCCCCCCGGAACAGAGAGGCTGTGTGTGTCGGCCTCGGCGGGCTCTGCCTTTCCTGGGGGCGCCTCGACGTTGCCCCTTGGGATGAGGGCTCTGCGCCCTGATGCCAGGTGCTTGGCGGTGTGGGAACCGGTACTTGGAAGGTTGAAGTGGGCGGGTCGATCGAGCCCAGGAGTTGGAGGTTACAGTGAACTGCGGTCAGCCTACTGTGATCCAGCCTGGGCTACAGAGCCAGAGGGGTCTTAAAAAAAAAAAAGTTAAATAGTTAAAAAACTATTTTGTAGGGTGGGGTTTTTCTCCAACTAGATTATTTTTTCCCTTGACATGTTATATCAGCGGTGAAATTTCATGGCAATGTATACTTTTTTCTTTGTATAAACAGTTGACAAAAGCATAAATGAATGCAATATTAATTTCCTGGATTCTATTTGTTAAAAGTCTGATTCTAACATTTAGGAAGCACATGTTTGTAGCCAGGTGTTGTGATAGAAGCCAAGCACACAAAAGTGAAAACCTGTCTGCAGCTTTCAGAGACTTTACAGGGAGAGAGCAGAAACACAATCAAAAGGCCATCGCAATACAGCCAATTCCATTATGGTGAGAGCTGATTTGACGACAAAAAATAAATGTTACTGAATGTGGTGATACCCTCCAAAACCAGATTTTTGTCTTTACTAAACTGTGTGTGTGGAGGGGGGAAGCCTACAGTAAGAAGAAATAAATGAGAAATAACAACAACAACAAAAAATTTAAACAACAGAATGCACAGAATAGATGGCAGATGGTTAAAAGCTCTAGCTAATTTAAAGGTTTATGGGAGCCAGTTGGGGCACTCACAGATAAGTTGAAGACTAGGACAAAGATACTCAGAATAATTCTGCCTAGGTAGTTATGAGAGTTCAGCCGACTCAAACTTACCTGAACTCAGTGACAGTGGTTTGCTCTAAAGGAAAGGTGAGGCACATCTAGTCTGTGATATCAGTGCATCAGAAAGAAGTCAATATAGTAAAAAGCAGCAATAGGCCTCTCTGCAGGTGATGAGCATCCACCACCACCAAGAAGCAATGGCAAAATACATGATAAAAATAGTGGGGCAAGAATAAAGCAACAGGAGGGCTCTTGTGCTTGGATGTAAATATTGTCAGAATCTCCCTTTGGATTATCTAAGGCTCTGAAATTCAGACAGAATTTTAATTCATGATAGCCCCAACACGTTCATGTTACGTATTTCCTGAATATGACACCAATGACTCAACAGATTTTAAAATGTATTTATGTGTGGATCTATTTTATATATATGAACATACATAAACCCCATATTGCAACAGTTTGATGATGATGATTGAATAATGAAAACAGAGATACTTGTATATACCTGAGTCCCATTCATGCACATCAAAAACACATTCACAGGGCTGAGCAAGGTGGCTCACACCTGTAATCCCAGCACATTGGGAGGCTGAGGCAGGCAGATTACTTGAGGGCAGGGGTTCAAGACCAGCCTGGTCAACATGGTGAAACCTGGTCTCTATTAAAAATACAAAAATTGGGCTGGGCGCGGTGGCTCAAGCCTGTAATCCCAACACTTTGGGAAGCCGAGGCGGGTGGATCACGAGGTCAAGAGATCGAGACCATCCTGGTCAGCGTGGTGAAACCACATCTCTGCTAAAAATATTAGCTGGGCATGGTGGCATGTGCCTGTAGTCCCAGCTACTCAGGAGTCTGAGGCAGTAGAACTGCTTGAACCCGGGAGGCGGAGGTTGCAGTGAGCCAAGTTTGTGCCACTGCACTCCAGCCTGGTGCCTGGCAACAGAGTGAGACTCTGAAAAAAAAAAATACAAAAATTAGCTGTAATCCCAGCTACTCTGGAGTTTGAGGCAGGAGAATGACGTGAACCCAGGAGGTGAAAGTTGCAGTAAGCTGAGATCACGCTACTGCACTCCAGCCCAGGTGACAGAGTGAGAGTCTGTCTTAAAAACAAAAACAACAACAAAACAAACCACATTCACACACACCAAAATCCAACAAATACACGAATGCATATATAATTTTTTAAAATACGGAAAATTTACAGTAGAGCAGGAATAGAAGTGGTGGTTGAGGACAAGAGAAAATAATAAAATAAAATAAAATAGGACTATGTTTTTGCAAGGATGACTGATGATAATTTGACATACTGCATCTGCAATCTAAACAGTAAAAAAAAAAAGGTGAAGGGAAGTCACTTCCACAATGTGATGTTCAAAAATACTCTTTTACAATTAGTTCTTATATGCTTATTTTCCATATATTTGTTTAAATGTTTTATTCCTATACATATTAAATATTTTATTCACCTGAAATTTATTTTAGAATAAAGAATGCATTAGAGAACCACCTTTGTTTATCCTTAGGAGTAGCTAACTAGATGTTACAGCATATTTACTAAATAACATATTCCTGTTCATTTGAAAAGTTATCTCTATCATGTACTTAATTCCAATAGACACTTAATTAAGTTATAAATCATTACAAAAATTACTGCAGCCTGGCAAATGTTTGGAACTTAAAACACAAATATATATATCTGAGTACCTTTGAGCCAAAGAAGACATCACAGTGGAAATTATAAAATATTTTTACTGAATTTTAATGAATATTAAACACAAAGCTTAAAAAATGTACCTAACGATGCTTAGAGAAGAATTTTTTTTTTCTAAGACATCTTAGTACACTGCAAAGTGAGAGATGAATTTTTTACCTTTAAATTACTGTATTAGAAAACATATATGTGGCTGGGCACGGTGGCTTACACCTGTAATCCCAGCATTTTGGGAGGCCAAGGCAGGCGGATCATGAGGTCAGGAGATGGAGAATATCCTGGCCAACATAGTGAAATCCCATCTCTACTAAAAACACAAAAAGTCGGGCGTTGTGGGGCACTCCTGTAATCCCAGCTATGCGGAAGGCTGAGGCAGGGGAATCACTTGAACCTGGGAGGTGGAGGTTGCAATGAGCCGAGATCGTGCCACTGCACTCCAGCCTGGCTGCAGAGCAGGTAGAAACCAGCTGAGGTGGTAGTGGCAAAATGTTTATGCCTGACCTCTAACCCCTCAGGGGACTGCCTGGGCACCCCGGTTGGTGCAGCTGGCTATGGAACCCCAAGGAGCCTGAATCCTATACTCTGTCTCAGGTGGGGTGAAGCTGGTCAGAGCTGGACCAGGCAAGATAAGAGTAGGGGGCAAGGAGGTCCTCAGGCCCCTGGCAAAATTCTTGGGAGAGGAGTGACTGTCCCTACACTGAGGTCCTCCCACGGGGTGGCTTGGGCCACCAGTCCCAGTGATCATAGACTTAGCCAGTAAGTGGGGTGCCCACATCCCTCCCATGCCTCAGTCCTGGCAGGCCTCCCTCTCTCATTTGTGCTTTCACAGACCATTTTGCAAGTCAGTCAGAACAGGCAATTTGTACCTAACTTGTAATTTTCAGCCCCAGCTCAGGGCTGCAGCCATCCAGCTCGTGAACTATCCTCCACAGCAATTCTCATCTTGTTCAGGACCCAGAGAGATTGCCTGGCTCTAGCTCCAGCAGCTGAAGCCCTCTCCAGCCTTGCTTTTAAGTCCAGGTTGTATGAGCCCAAGTTTCCCTAATGCCCAGGACTGATGCCACTCTTCCCAGGAGAGTGCACAGTTTGTTACGAACTAGGATTAAGAATGGCATTTTAGACCAGGCACAGTGGCTCACACCTATAATCCCAACACTTTGGGAGGCCAAGCCGGTTGGATCACTTGAGGTCAGGAGTTTGAGACCAGCCTGGCCAACATGATGAAACCTGGTCTCTACTAAAAATACAAAAATTAGCCAGGCATGGTGGTGTGCACCTGTAGTCCCAGCTACTTGGGAGGCTGAGGCAGGAGAATGACTTGAACCCAGGGGGCAGATGCTGCAGTGAGCTGAGATTGCACCACCGCACTCCAGCCTGGGTGACAGAGAAAGACTCCATCTCAAAAGAAAGAAAGAAAGAAAGAATGGTATTTTACTGTAGCTTCTTAAGTCTCAGGGAGACTGTGGGACCCAGGACATGTTACCACCCTGGAACAGTTTCTTCTCAGTCTCGTGGCCACTCCCCAGGTCAAATTCAGGGATTGAGAGGGTTTACTCCTGTGGTCTGAACTGTATGATTTCCCAATGGGAAAGTGGACCACAGAAGGACACCTACTCACCCTCTCCCATTCTGAAGATTCACTCCTGGTTTCCAGCCAGTTGGGGCCATGCAAGCTGCCTGTCTTCTCCTCTTCTGATTTTGGAGTTGCCTTTCTCTTCTCTGTTGACTTCCTGTGTTCGCTCTTGGAGAAAGCATTCAAAGTGTAACAGTGAATTCAGTTTGCTCTGGATTGCTTCTGGTGTTGACCCAGAAACACCAGCATCTATTCTGGTTCCTCTAGATGGATGAGACATGCCTGAAATGCCTTGAGTCAGTCACCTTAGAAAAACAAAAGAAAACCAAAAACACCTGTATGTTTTCTTTTAAGAGAAAAGAGAGTCTGCGCACAGTGGCTCACGCCTGTAATCCCAGTACTTTGGGAGGCCAAGGTGGGCGGATGATGAGGTTAGGAGATCAAGACCATCCTGGCCAACGTGGTGAAACCCTGTCTCTAATAAAAATACAAAAATTAGCTGGGCATGGTGGCATGTGCCTGTAATCTCAGGTACTTGAGAGGCTGACGGCAGAAAAATCTCTTGAACCCGGGAGGCAGAGGTTGCAGTGATCTGAGATCGTGCCACTGCACTCCAGCCTGGCACAGGGCAAGACTCCATCTCAAATAATAAATAAAATAAAATAAGAAACAATCTCATGCAATAAAATTTAAATGAAGACGTATGACCAGCATGTTTGTTTATTCCTATACTAGAATCCAGTCAGGTAACAGAAACTATACCAGTTAACTGAAGAGATGGACTTTAAAATGTAGAATTGGTAATTAGGTAGAAAGTTATCAAATAGATAACTGAAAGGGTAAAAAGAGAAGTCTAGGCTATCACAGAGATAGCAACTGCAGGAAGGAGCTGGGAAGCAGGGAAGAAGCTACATTTATTAAACTACATTTACAGAAGAGGAGTGGCAGAGCCAATCCAGATTAGGGAGGTAGAACAGTGCTGGGCTGGTGCTGGTTCCTCTCAGCTCAGTGGAGGGACTGTGGGTCTGAGACCCATACCGTTGAGGAGAGGGTACCTGCTGGCTGATGCTGGTGGTGTTTCTGGGGCAACGACATGAAGCTGGGTCTACATGTATGAGGAAAAAACAGCAAACTGGATTCAGCTGCTGCTACGAAAAGACAAACTATTCCTCCAAAGGTAAAAAATGCTGCTTCAGAGAACACCAACAGGAAACACAGGAAGCAGCCAGGAAGGGGCAAGTCCTTACCCTCTCCTCTCCTGGAAATTTCCTTCTAATATTTGCCAAGGGAGAACCTAATATGAAGCTGACTGGCTTCATATTAGGTTCTCCCTTGGCAAACATTAGAAGCCAGAAGCAGTGTACTTGGCAGGTATGGGTACTTGGCATATCTTAAGAGCCTGCTCCTAAGAGCAGGTGCTTGGGCATCATGGCTGCCCGAGAGCTTAAGAGCCTGTTTGACTGCCAAATACACAGCTTCTACAACCACAAATATGAAGAAGTGTGGTTTGCAGGATTTTTGCTCCAATATCACAAAACAGTATAAAATAATGGGTTTAAGGTTGTAAGAAAAACACCTTAATAATTTATACAATTCTGCCAGGTGTGGTGGCTCACACTTGTAATCTCAGCACTTTGGGAGGCCAAGGTGGGTGGATCACCTAAGGTCAAGAGTTCGAGACCAGCCTGGCCAACATGGTGAAACCCCATCTCTACTAAAAACACAAAAAAATTACCTGAGCATGGTGGCGGGTGCCTGTAATCACAGCTACTTGGGAGGCTGAGGCAGAAGAATCGCTTGAACCTGGGAGACAGAGATTGCAGTGAGCCAAGATCACGCCATTGCACTCCAGCCTGGGTGACAAGAATGAAACTCCACTCAAAATAAATAAATAAATAACATATATAATTTTATATTAATTTCATTCATTCCCCAGAAGGCCACTCCATATCTTCCCACAAATTGATTCCAGCAGGAAAAAAAAGTAGATGAAAAATTTTGTAAAATAAAAGATTTCTTATCTGGCCATGGTGGCTCATGCCCATAATCTCAGCATCTTGGGAGGTTAAGTCAGGCAGGTCACTTGAGTCCAGGAGTTTAAGACTAGACTGGGCAACTGTGGCAAAACTCCATCTCTACAAAAAATTAGCCAGGCATGGTGGCATGTGCCTGTAGTCCCAGCTATTCAGGAGGCTTCCATGAGAGGATCACCTCAGCCCAGGAGGTCAAGGCTGCAGTGAATGTTGCTCATGCCACCAGCCTGGATGACAGAATGACACTTCTCTGTCCAAATTAAAAACAAACAAACAAACAAACACACACACACACACACACTCACACACACACAGGCCAGGCACCGTGGCTCATGCCTGTAATCCCAGCACTTTGGGAGGCCAAGGCAGGCGGATCACGAGGTCAGGAGTTAGAGACTAGCCTGATCAACATGGTGAAACTCTGTCTCTACTGAAAATACAAAAATTAGCCAGGTATGGTAGCACATGCCTATAATCCCAGCTACTCAGGAGGCCGAGGCAGGAGAATCCCTTGAACCGGGGAGTCGGAGGCTGCAGTAAGCCTAGATGGCGCCACTGTACTCCAGCCTGGGCAAGAGAGTGAGACTCCATCTCAAAAAAAAAAAAAACCTTCTCATTTTCCAACCTATGAGTGTTTTTAAAACACAATTTTAATAAAAATCTAGAAAGTTCAAACTAATCTTTATAGACTAAAAGATTACGTGTGGGTGAGGAGAGGCAGGGAGGAACAATGTGGAGGGAGTTCCAAAAAAAACTTGACTGGTGATAATTTCGCAAAATGTATTCTTTGACTTATATGTTGTAAATCATACACTTTAAATATGTGCATTTTATTATATGTCAACTATGTGTCAATAAAGCTTTTAAAAAACCCAACTCGTTTTATATCTGAAGTCAGGACCTCAAAAGCAGGAATCAAGGGGCATGGAGGACAGGAGAGCTCCTGCAAAATGAAGAGCCAAACAAAGAAGGGAAGAGGAGATAGAGAAAGAAAAGTGAAAATTACTGCCCAGCTCCCAGAAAACTGTAGACACTTCAGAACATGGAATTTTTCCCAGAGTCTCAAGCCAAACCTTCCTCTTCTCCTCCTCTTCTCCCACACATTCACAAACACTTCCTTCTTTCTGCCTAAGAGCTTTTGCAGGCATCTCACATAAAAGAACCACCTGGAACATCAAACGCCTCAGTTGCAGTCCTTGGAAAGAAGAATTCCAGCTCTCTGCTCAGTAAGAAGGCAGAGTATCAGGAAAGCCTTCTTTATTTTTCTGTGTTTGGAAGCAAATAACTAGGTCCAGCCCACTATCAAGAGAAGGAGATTACAAGAGAGACACAAATACTATCAGGAGGTAGGGATCCTTGGCAGCCATCTTAAAGGCTACTGTAGGATGAAAAGTAGTATCTTTTCTCATCCATTGCTAGATTCATGGCTGAGACTCCTATAATGACAGACAGATTAACAAGAGAAAAGCATACGAATTTATTAAATATAAGATTTATGTGACACAGAGGCTTCAGCAATGAAGACCCGAAGAAACAGGTTGAACTGTGTATTTTCATGGAGAGTCACTGCAGAAGTATGGAGGACAAAGCAGACGACCTAGCAGTAATAAACCGGGGAAATTTAGCAAGGCCTGTTTGTTCAGATTCTTCTTGGCATTTCCGTATCTTGGGCTCCTTTCCTCCAGGGATAGGAAGGGCACCTGCTTCAGGGAAGGTCAGAGAATGCTTTTATGACCAGCCTCAGTGGAGAAAGGTGGAGCACAGAACAGAGACCTTCCCGCTTCTGCTGTTCTCTCAAAAGTCAAGGTGCCATATTTTGGTGTACCATGTCCTGACACTCATCATTACCTACCACAGTGGGCAAGGTTCTGAGGCCAGAAAGTGTGAAAAGAACATCTATATCTAAGGAGGTGGGCCAGCAATAGAGTGTCAGAGCCCAGGGCGATTAGGAGGTACTAGGAGTGTCATAGAACATTGGCAATTGGTTATACATAGAGAGGTTCTAATATTTGTTTTTCTTACTTTGAATCAGGATATGTCTTACAAAAGGTGTTGCTTATATTCTGTGAAATACTGTAGCTTCTAAATTGTGCAGAGTTGTTTTTAGGGTCAGTATTGTGTTCCATTGGCTTGTTTGTCTGTGCCTGATAAGGCATTTAATCGTTGAATCTAATCTCTTCCGTAAAAATGGACTCAAGTGTATCTATGAGAGTGAGAGAGTCAATGAGGAGTAATGAGGAGCAGAATTACAAAGAATTGAGTCTTTTTTTTTTTTTTTTTTTTTTTTTTTTGACTGAGTCTCACTCTGTCACCCAGGCTGGTGTACACTGGCGCAATCTCTGCTCACTGCAACCTCTGCCTCCTGGGTTCAGGGGATTCTCCTGCCTGCCTCAGTCTCCCGGGTAGCTGGGATTACAGGTTCATGCCACCACTCCCGGCTAATTTTTGTATTTTTAGTAGAGACGGGGTCTCAAACTTGACCTCAGGTGATCCGCCCACCTGAGCCTCCCAAAATGCTGGGATTACAAGCGTGAGCCATCATGCCCGGCCAGGTCTGTCTCCTTTTAAATATCGTCTACATTTATGCCGCACCCATTAAAAGCTACATGAATCCTGATGATGGCTTTGGAAAAGATGGTGAGGGCACAGGAGCTAGGAACTATCCGAGCAGGTGAATCTAGGGAGAAAAATAGTGTGGAAGAAAGAAAACTGAGAGGACAGGAAGCCTTGGTTGGGAAATACAAACAACAAACGGGGAGAATTGAAGAGTGATTCAAACGACAATGGACATGTCAGCTTTGCCCACTAAAGACACTACCGCCACACGCCCTCCCTCCCAACAGTAACCCAAATTCATTTCCTGGGGCGGGGGTGGGGGGCTGCACACAGCTCGGCCTTGGGCTCCTGCCTGCAGATCCCTTCTGTCCTCCGCCCTCCTCCCCTCGCTTTTGCATCCTTGAAGGCAGGGGATAGCACTGAAGAGGACTAGCGGTGCGATCCTGCGCCTCAGTTGAAGGACCGAATCTCGGCCCTCCCAGTCCCAGGACCTAGTGACTCCTGCACTACCTGATCTCGGGCGCCTTGAGGGGAGTGCCGTGGACGTGGCTGGTTTCAGCAGCCCCGCAGATTTCAGCGTCTGAGAACCTGGAAGTTTGGCTGCTCCCTTACAGTGAGACAAAAGCGGTGGGTCCCGCACAGGCCGAAGAACCACTAGAGGGCAGCAACACACCGGACTCCGTAACACTGGCGCTCAGCGTCGACCCGGGCTCACAGAGTGCTCAGAGTTGATCCATGCTGTCGTTCTAAATTCAGCCACGAGGCGGTGCTGCTGCTTTCCACAGACTGGGATAGTTTCGCTAACTCTCCTGTACTCTAGCATACATCTGAGATGACTCTAGAAAGTCCCTCAATGAGCTAACCCTTGGTTTTATCCCTGATAAAATGGGTTCATGGGGTCAGGAGTTGAGGTATAGATTTACTGAATTGACTGCCTTCCTTCCTCCTCCACACATGCATCATTTATGCTTCTATTTTTCCATACCAGAAATTTGAATCATGTTGGGAAAGCGTGAAAGACAATCATCCACTGGCAGTTTAGTAACAGTTTGGGAAAGCCTGAAAATCATGTGTAAAATAGTGCTTTGGGAGTCCTAGCAAACTGAATAGCAAACTCATTTTCTGGCATCTTGACTTTCAGAAGTCAAGAGAATCAGTCTTACAACATTTGTTCAAAACAAATGTCAACAAACATTGGCTGAGTGTCTGCCATCAAGCAAACATTGTATTGGCTCATGGTACAAAGATGAATAAGACCAGGGCCAAGACAAGAATTCGGACTGAGGGAGACAGCAGGCACATTGGACTCCACACTTCTTATACATGGAAGGCCTCAAAGACAAGCTACAGTGACAGGACTGAACGATATTAGTTCTTCACCTTTAAACTTTTGTCCCCCTAGGGCATGATGAATTATTAATAATGTTCTTTATCTGAATCCCAAAACTAAGCTTTTGAAAAACATTATTGTATTATATTTTGATTATGAGAAAGTAGAAATTTGTCAAATGTAAATAATTAAAGTAGGCTACAATTTTTGGAAACTTGGGATTTCTTGATTTTTTAATATACCAGGAACCTCCAAAATGAAAGTGGCCCTGATGACCTCTAGGAGACCACAGAGAAAATATAGTCTCAGTTTCCTAAATAAGTTTCCAATCTAGGAAAGAGTAACACATTAACAGGCCACTTTAGTACTGTATAAAATGCAGCCTTCTTAAGCCCTATGCATGAATTCTTCAAGACAAACCAATAATAACAATTTACCAAAAACACATTCTAAACTGCAGTGCTCAGTGCTGAGAGAAAGCATGCTGAATTTTTTTTCTTTCTTTTTTTTTTTTTTGAGATGGAGTTTCGCTCTTGTTGCCCAGACTGGAGTAATGGTGCAATCTCGGCTCACTGCAATCTACACCTTCTGGGTTCAAGTGATTCTTCTGCCTCAGCCTCCTGTGTAGCTGGGATTACAGGCATGTGCCACCACACCCAGCTAATTTTTGTATTTTTAGTAGAGACGGGGTTTCTCCATTTTGATCGAACTCCTGACCTCAGGTGATCCGCCTGCCTTGACCTCCCAAAGTGTTGGGATTACAGGCATGAGCCACCATGCCCGGCCAGCATGCTGAATTTTTAAAAATATTTTTTGAGTCAGAGTCATGAGAATGCTGAATTTTATC